TGTGTGTGTGTGTGTGTGTGTGTGTGTGTGTGTGTGTGTGTGTGTGTGTGTGTGTGTGTATACCTGTAGACTGAAAGACGCCGGGATTGCACTGGCAGTACCTGGAGGCAAACGCCTCCATCATGCGATCAATCTTCTGGGCCTCACCAGGAAGTCTGAAGCTCCACAGAAACTGCCTGCAGCAGCAGAGAGAGAGAGATGAGCTGTGATGATGCAACCTAATCATTTACTGTCAATTACAACCTATATTGTATGCCTCAGATACCTCCTAAACATCTAAAAAGAGACGGTTAATTTACTGCAACATAAAAACAAGAACAGTTTAGTTTTTAATGGGACAGAAAATAAGAGGAAAAGAAGGCAAACATTTTAGGGCTGTGTGTGGGAAAAGATTTCAATGATTTATAGAGACATATTACGGCACAAAAAAAGACAAGACAAAGCCCAATGAGAGGAGACTCACTGTGGGGAGAGTTCATATTTCTCTTGCAAAAGTTTTTWTTTCCAGTTCTGTTGGTCTGTGTTGTAACCGATGCAAAAATTCCCAAGATTCTTTCTTTAAAAGAAACTAAAGTTTATGATAAAACATCCAGTTTGCATRTTCATTGAAGTATTTATGTTATGATATGTGCAAAATCTTTAAATTGTTGCAAAAGRCACTTTTGATTTATTTTCACTTGGGTTTTAAGAGATTTTGTGATGTTTGTTTCCAGAATTTAATGTTTTTTTTWATTAATTCAAGTTATTTAATTCCTCCTTTAAACAATTAAAGGTTCTTAATCCCACAACCTTAACTCTTGTCTAAAACAAAAATATTTCATTCATGAAATTTTATACTTTTAGCATTTTTCAAATGCTTTTCACTTGTTTTGGAGGAAAGTTTTTTCACATTATGCTATTAATCTTGTTTGGTGCTCATTTGCAAGCTTTTATTTTGATGTGAGGACACAGGAATGTTGATTTTTATCACTCAAACCATGTCGGCTGTACTGTATTTGTGCGTTAACAATGGAATAGTCTTTCATGTGATAATGTGCAATAAAACTTTCTCTCACCTTAAGGCTTGAACCAGATTGAGGTCTGCAAATTCATGAAGCTCCACAAACGCCTGGAGGACCTTGATGTTGAAGTCATCTCTGCAGAAAATCAGGAACACGTGTCACAAGTTTGAATATTTACATGTCAAACAAGGGAAGACATAAACCCTCGAGTCTTTCATTTTCAGAAATACATCTGAATCCTGCAGCCAAGTTGCTGCTAAACTTTCTGCTCCAAAGCTGTTGGACATCAGTGTTTTGACAGTGCCGCATCTGACCTCTGTTCAATAAAAACCACATGTCCCCTGACTTATTTTAGTGGCACCGTTTCCTGTCGCTGCTCCGCTTCATAAATCCAGACGACAGACTTCCTGGAGGTTTAAGGCCGGGGTCTAAGCTCAGGCAACGCAGATCTGAGAAGTTGGAAAGAAAACAGAGGGAAATCTTGGAGCTCACCGTTCCCCTAAGTAGTCTCCGATGACGGTTTTGTTAAGGCCTTCGCCTTTGTAGAGGAACTGCGCAATGTCCTCTGGGGTGTTCTGGAGAAGATCGTTCTCCAAAAGAAACTGGATTCCCTGTAAAACATGACGCTGCAGTTACTAAATGTGGTCCGCTTTAAAAACTTCAGTGAACAGATCTGGGTTATTTTGAAGTTTAATTTTAAAAAGGCATTAAAACTTCAGGAAATACAACAAAAGGAGGAGTTTTAACGATCTGCCCAGGATCTCGTCTGACCTTTTTAGGATCCATGTTGAACTTCTTCCTGCCCATGGCGATCTGTTTGTTTCTTTGTGATGTTTTGCTGCAAGTGAAAATGGGGAGAAACACATTAGAGGCACTTATCACACATCAGCTAGGTGTGGTGCTGTGTGCGGGCTCTGTAGGTCAGTATGTGAGGCGTTTTCTAATACTGTTTATTTTATCACTTTGTCAAACAAACTGAGTTTGTACAAGCTTTACTTTGAAAACCGGTTACATGTTAAACACAAAGCGTGGGGTTCTGTGACAAACTACTTTTATCTGTTGCCAAAAATGCATCTTCCTCCTTCAGCTGAATCCTTCCAGCTGCCGTTTGGAAAGGTTATTTCCATTTTCATGTTAAACTCCTTCCAAACACGCTGCGTGCACCCCACAGGGAGAGCCACACCTTCGTGTTTCAGAGGATGATCTCAACACCCCCCTGTGCTCAAAATAAAGCTTTACCAGCTGCACACCTGAGACAGACAGCCTGCCATCGCTTCACCTTTTCGACCAATCACAAACTGCCTTGGACTGCAGACTGTTTGTTTAAGGGTCTGTTCCTCTTTAATGTTCAAACACTGGGTGATTAATATGTTAACACACACACACACACACACACACACAAAATGACAGGTGTGAGCCTCTCTGCAACTGCGGCTAACATGTAACAAAAGAAGGAAAAAGGAGAAAACAAAAAGGAAACACTACTATTTCAAGTTAGTTTTCTGTCATCAGAGAAATTATCTACGGCTGCATCAGAAACTTACTTAAAAAATAAATGCTTTTAAAAATGAGTTTTGCATAATTTTATGCTAAATATATTCTAGTGTTGAATGACTTGTTACATAAGGTYAGTCATTTAAATGTCATGGTTTCAGAGAAAAGGTGAAGGTGGGAGTTTGTCATAAATTTGARATCTTTCAGAGAAAATTATTAACCAAGATCTGATTAATTTTACTAAATAAAGGTTTAGCAATTCATAAAAGAATGCTCATCACACCAGAGTTTTAACCCAAGACCATCGTGTGATCTGTTAGCACTCAGAGTACATGTTGGGAAGGACTCTCAGTAACTACCACATGGATGTTCAGTTCAGTATCTGCACAGCTGTTTGAAGGTGTGGTTATTTTTGTGTTGCCCTCATTTAGCAGGTGTGATTATCTCGACTCAGTCTCCAAAAGTCCACAAGTTGTAGAAGTGCATTCAATCATTGCTTTTTGAGAGTTTTAAAAAAATCTGAGGTATTTTGCTAACACTACAAACAAATGGGCACAGAGACATGAGCAAGAAACATTGTCACCTTTYCCTTTGGCTGCAAAAGAAATACAATAATCCTAATTTGCAATGTGAAAATCATCAGTAAATAGAAACTCACCTTTCGCCCACAGAGGTCAGCTGTTCAATCTCCGTCATAACTTCTGCAATCTCAAACTTCAGCCGCTAAACAAAGAAAAMACTTCTTTTAATACTTGAGTTTGCATTTCATACAAGCCAATTCAAAAATAACCTCCAAATTAAAAAAGCTATAGTAACAGATTTGTTAACCGTTTGGACTTTAAAAGGTGATTTAATCATTTTTAGCATTAAAAATTAAATTCCCTTTGATGTTTCTTCTGAATTATTTTGCTACACGCAACTAGAAATTGTTATAAGTGATGCTTTTTACGCACTGCATATAAATAAAACAGAGTTTTAAAGGAAAAATCATAAAATACAGAACAAAATTTGCTGTGCAACATTACTCCGCATGAGCTCAGAATTCCTCCCCACATGCAACAGACTTGAATAACTTTGTGCTGCTGGATTTAATTCCAACAAAATTCCACCATTTTGWTAAATTTCTTTATATTCCCCAAAACGAAAACATTGTTACTCACTTCTATATCATCTAGAAGCTCTTTTTTCCTGCGCCGGATGTTGGACAGCTCATCTCTCTCCTCCAAAGACAGGTCCTCGGGCACTGGAACATGCAGGGAAAATGAAACAGTGTGAGTGAGAGGAAGGGGCAGGGAGATGACGATGGATTAAATTAATTCATCCACCCAACCAGCCGGTCAGAGTCACGAGGATTAATTCTGTTCAATGAACCTGTTCAACGAGCCCGTCCCAAAGACATCACATATGACCTAAATTAATGTGCTAATGGACAYAAGGGCCACTTCATTTTAGAAGTGTGAATTAAATACAGTAGACGGCTGGAGAAATACGAGGCTCTGCAGTTTGTTTTTGAAGCTTTTATTCCGTGGCATATTTTATTTAACCCAGCAGGTGGTTACACTGTGGATGGAGAAAACACCTGTATTTGCATTTACAAGTGGTAGTTTATTCAAATTCGCTCTCTGAAGTATTAACATTACAATTCTGATTCATAATTTTGCTTTAATAAAAAGTGAACACTGTTCTTCAGAAGAAAAACTGAGCTTTTCTCTCATTGTTAGGTGATCTGAGTCTATATTATTTATATAACTTGTTTTAGAAAAAGAAGAAATCATTAACAATAAGGATTACAGTGAAAAGCTCTTTTTTTTCCAGCTGCCTTGTTCCTATATGATGCTTTATTAAGTTGGTACTAGAAAACTAAATGTGGCTTCAGAAAATATTATAATATTCTAAACTMTCTGCAGGAATATTTCAATGTTTGTGCCTGAATAACAGTAGTTCAGGTGTACGTTTATTTAGCTGCTAAATGCTCCACTGTGTCCATTGATTTGAAACTGAGCCAAAACTGTAGAGCTGCCCGCCTGCTGTGGTAACAATTATTAAACAAAGCATTYTGTAAGCTTTAAAGGGAAAGTCCCCCCCAGTCTACTTTAAACATGTCCCTCTAGTCTGAAACTCTGTGCAGTCATATGGATTGTTTCTGTGTGAGTTAAACAACYTTTAGTCTGACATCGTTTGTATCAGGAGCACGGGACTCGTTTTGGACATCTGTGCTGGTACAGTTGAGTGAAAGAAAACAGTTTCAACTAAAAAAAAACTTGTCGCATTAAGGTCTTTCTCTGAGCTTCATTAAATTCATTCTGTGCATCATGAGATATTTTTCTAACAGGCAAAGGTCCTTCAGTGGCCGACAATAAAAGTTATACATGAGGAAGTTTCTCATGGGATCTTCTTTTAAGCCTTAAAAGATTTCTGCAGATGACTTGTAACATCCTGTTTGGCGCACACACACACACACATACACACACACACGCACACACACATCCATGTAGTGAGCATCTGCGAAGTTCTGTCCTCTCTGGTAAAACGTTTATTTCAAATTTTTAGCCYTCATCACCAGAGCTGCACATCCTGCAGCGTACCGCTTTTTAATGCTCACAGGCAGGACATGCTCAGGTGAGTACAATGCTGCACGCGCCACACATACGTTTTATTCTACACAGAAAGTCCCAAAAGCACCCTACATAGCCCTCATTTTACCGCCAATTTACCCCCCCCCCCCCCCCGAGCCCCCACTGCAGGGCATGTC